AACTTCATTTTTGGAGAGATATGCGCAGGGCAAGATGGGATTGGCCGACTCATCTTATCTTCAAGTACAAAGTAAAATATCTTAGCTTCAAAAACTTTTTGCTCTATGCAAATATTGTTATTTTTTGAGTTAGGTTTTATAAAAACCTTTGTTTTAAGTAAATAGTCTCTAGCATTTTAAAAGAGTCGAAAATAATTTTCATTTGAAACTAAATTTAACGAAAGAAACTAATTTTTTACTCTTTTAGAATATAATAAAGTACATATTAACATTTTTTATAGGAATTAATTCTAAAAATAATAATATTTATAGGGACAAAAATTTATTTAAATCAATAACTTATTTCATTTCATTACTTTATGTCTTTTTTCTATTGTTTTAGGTTAATTTTAATTTACTTAATGAAAGTGAAAGTTGAAAAGAAAAGTACCTTTCATTCACTATTATTTAATTTTTATAAAATTTTATTATTTATATAATATATTCATAATACTGTTTTTTTTTCTTTATCTTTCTTTATTACGGGTGCGAGCAACTTAATTAAATATTTTTTTGAATAAACTTTTATCACATGATGACTTGTGACGTTGAAACTTATGAAAACAAGTTATATAGTTTATTTTAATAAGTTATACTACAAAAAAATTATTCAAAACATTTTAAAAAAGATTATGAAAATTATAAATTATTTTCACAAAATTTTCCTAATCTCTTGAAAATACTCCCTTTATCAATAATAGCAATTTTTTCCCTCCTTATCATTCATTTAAAAGTATACATAAATATTGTATAAATACAAATTTTTTTTTTTGTATATACTCTCTTGGTTGCTATTTAATAACATATTTAATTTGTAGTAGACAATTGTACGGAGTGAGACTTTTGAAAGGGGGAGTATTTTAACCTTGCACATGAAGGCCAATGTACAAATAGCTCGCAGTACACCACACACTTGCCCTTTTTAAATCATAATATGTTTGCTATATATCCTTCCCACTTTCCCTTTCCCTAACTAAAAAAATTATAGCACCACCTAATGAGACTAATGCTATGTTTGTATTGGTTTTTGAGCTTAATTTAGACACGATTTTTAAAAATGATTTTGTTTAGTTTTTTATAAGCAAACGTGCTTTTGTTTGAAAGTACATGTTAGGCTACATATAAAGAAATCTTAGAGAATATTATCAACTTAGTCCTCTTCAATTATAATTAACGCCACATTAATTTTTTAAAAAGTTGAGCCATCAAATTAGTTCTTTAAAATTTAAATATTAATCATATTATTCTTTTAAATATTTTTTAAAATATCATCAAATTAATCTTTAAAATATTTAGCTTATCACTAAATTAGTTTTTCAAGCATTTTTTATCACTATTTTAATCCTTTTATAAATATTAATTTGATAACAAAAGTTTTAGAGAACTAATGCAATAATAATTTTGATCAGACTAATTTGATAACTCAAAATTTTAATGTAATAACATCTTTCAAAGGTAACTACCAAGTTGGGTGAGAAATTTATTTTGAAACTTATTACCAATTTACTTTTGAAATAATCAATTATAAACATAATTAAATTCATTTCCTCCTTGTCAACACAATTTCTTTTTTTCTTTTTAATTAAGTTTGTATATGTTTTTCAGTGGAAAACACACTGAATTATCATCAAACATGCATGTTGATGAACTGAAATTGTTTAGCTTAATTTGTAGTATAAGTTTAAGTTTCAGTTAATACAACTATGCTAAATATTTTTGTTATTTACAATGGTTTTACGAGTTCCAAAATGATTGTTTCATGTAAAAGATGCATTTAGTCTACGAACAAAAACACACTAATTTAACAACAACAAAAAACAAAAGCAAGCATTGAATTGTTGATCATAGATGCACCAAACAATAAACATCTGCGTGAGAAATTAAGCTGAAAGATGTACAAAGGCGATTGCTTGGGCGCGGCGTCGTTGAATATTTTACCGTCAAATTTGGTAAGATATGATATATTAGGTAACTACGCATTTCGCTTTCACCCGTTCCGAGTCACACTTCTATATACCATTTCATATTCTTAGTGACAACAGCATCATCATCATTATTTGCCTTCCCCTTTTCATCAAAAGTTTGATACTTAGTTTATTTGCTTGCGCAATGCTTGCCTTCACCAGAGGATTTAGTCTTTGAGGATCACTGCGAGACCAACCTTTATGTAATTAATTTGGGGTTATGATAGACTACCTCATCAAAGTCTGAATACATGAAAACCTTCTTTTTTAGTGAGTTTAAAGAGTTTACTGATTCTTAAATATGAGTGATCACAATGTATTTTGCATCAAATTAAGAATTGATGTCTCGGTGAAAAATGCTAACAAGTATCTTTATGATACTAATTTTTAAATCAAAAGTAGAAAACTATTATCAATATATGTTACAGTAATTTCCAATAATTTTTTACTTTGAAAACATATATCATTAAAATATTTTTCATTTTAAGAGTGTGATAATTATAATTTTGAACCATATAATTGATAATAAAAATTTCGTTAATAAGTTATATGATACTTTAAAAAGCTAGATATATTTAAAATTTTGAGTATTTAAATAACTAAATGTTTTTATTTGAGTAATTTTCTAATGGGAGGACATTTGTTGACAAAACTTTTATATATATATATATATATATATATATATATATATATATAAAAGTTCGTAATTAGACCCTTTTCTACAGCTCATATATATATGTTTAGCCTTTATTTTAATTGAATTTTATACTGATTTATATGTTAAATGTGTAGTTTAGTATGAAGATGCCATAAGTGGATTTTAAGCTCAAATTAATGAAAGATTAGAGTTTTACAATAGTCAGCACATTTAGACCCTTTCAGCGAGGTTGTGCTTATTTGCAGGAAGCTCAATTATAAAGAGTTTTTAGGTTTTTAACCCCTATAAAAGATATACCTTAGGTATCTTGTTGGACACACTGTTTACATTTTATCCTTCATTCTTTGATATATCTTTTATTTTATCTCTCTTGTACGGGATTATTGACATACTTTTGGTGAGACTTGGAATTTCGAACGACCGTATTTGAAGACCGAAAAATCATTTCTTTTTAATTTGCTTTTTTCTATAGCTTTGTTTACGATTGTTTTATTTTTTCTCTTTAGCATGAGTAATTAAGTCCATAGTTGGGACTATAAAAACTATTGTTCATGAATTTATTGGATTTTGAAGTTTGAATATATATTTCATTTTCGTTTATGATTAGCTTTTATCCTATTGCGTATAATTATAATCCTAATTAATTATATTGTCAGGCGATCGTACCTCGATTAGTTAATAGATTTATAGAATAAAACAAGATAAAAGATTACTTAGACCAAACTAATCTTTCTCTTCTAATCGTTATTAAATTAACAAATTCATAGGTGCTTTATACTTTCTTTAATTGATGTCTTACATGATCATTGAGGATATTAATTTAAAGAAAAGAATATTAATATTACATGATCATTGGGTATTAATAGTATTTGTATGAATGATTGGTAATCACAAAGAAATCAAATTTAGATTTAAACAAAAAAATAACATAAAGAATTGAATGAGAATACTCATATGTCTTATGTTCCTCTTCAATAAGTTTAATCAAGACATGTGTTGCGTTATTTGCTTTTATTCATAATTAATTTTATAATTAAATTCTTTTTTTTATTTAATTTCACATCTTTTAGGCTCAAATAATTAAATAAAACAATCGTAAACTTCATTTTAAAATCCTTTATTACTTCTTGACAGGTACACTTGTCCTCCAAACATTATATATTTCCTTACAGAGAAAAGAGATGAAGAAAAAGGCAATAAAATTTGAAGACGCCAATTACATAAGCTAAGCATTTGCTTTTATTTCAACAATAAAGGAATTCTTTGTAAAACAAACAGCAATTTAGAAAAAGCACACAGTAGGAATTGGAGAAAGCATATGCGCTGGTTGGCATAAGTGGATGCTTTGAACAATCAAAAGAGAATATCATTTGATGCCAAAGTAAAACAGAATGATACTTCTACCTGGTACCTGTATTGCTGTTCCATTTTTCTTTTTCTAATTTTGGAGTCCGATTGGAAAGGAAAGGTAGTATAAGAGCATAGAATATTTTGGAAATGAGGGCCCAGATAGACAGCAATATCTATGGGGGAAGATATCATGGACGAAATTATAAAGTTTCTATTGTAATTTGTAATGCAGAATAAAATATAACTACGAAAAGAGAATGCCACAGAAAATATTTCTTCGATAGTATTTTGATTGAAAGAATATTAATAAATATTTGATTTTGACGGGTTAGTCAAATAGATTAATCAGGTCCATGGCTAATCAAGTGTTACCAAGGAAACTAATAAGTTCAAATGGTTATAAATAGGCATAAGATTTTACTTGGCCTGTTTTTTTGGTCAAATGATGCTCAAGGACACAGCTCGGAAGGTGTAATTTATGATTTAGTTTGGTTAGGCCTACAACTCATCCCAGATTTGGGATGATTGCATGGTTAGCTCCTATTTTTGTGCTACTTGTTTCTCTTCCAAAGATGCTAATGAAAAATTCTCTTTGGCAACATTTGTGTTTGTCATTTCATACAAAAAGTTTTACAATTGTAATAGGAGCTTTTAAAGTGGGTCAGAAACAACGCAGACCTATACGAGGTAATTCTGTTGCTTGCTCTCCTTTGTTAGTGGGATGGTCAGTTGGTCACCTGACACTATGGAAGAGACATTTTGATTTCTTGTGCTCCTTTTTACTGTTTTCAACAATGGCAGAGCACTTGTAAAACCCCAAATAATGAATGTTGCGTGTTTGAAACTATGTAATGGGTCCACCATAGAGATACAAAAAAGCAGTGTACCCGGACGAGCAAGTATTGACCACCCAAGGCACTCACAATATCACTTGCTAAGTGTAATTCTACCTACAAAATTTCTTATATTTACAAGTAAAACGGCCATTATAGTTTTATTATTTTTCTCCTACTCAATGAATCATTACCAAATTATTCATCATTTTGTAGATTGAAAACTCTGACACTTCAAATTGGTGAAAAGGTGCCTGGCAGCCTCAAAAAAGGGTCAACGGACTGATCATAATTCTATGAGAGCCATCCTTTTTTGTTCTTGGCCACCTTGAGCTTCATCACAAGTTCTTCACGCTCGGCTTCCACCTCAGCATATTTAAGGCTCATGTGGAAGTAGCGCTCCTGGATATCTCTTAACTCTGCCTCTAGCATAGATTTTGTACGTTCAAATTTTTCTTTCGTTACAAGTTCTTCAGCCATTGATTTTGCTGGGCCATTTGCCTTGTTGTTCTGGCCTTGAGATGGAGACCTGCATGATAAATATACAGCGAATTCTATTATAACACAAATTACTTATATGAGCAATAAGGCAAGTGCTAAAACTCAGACAATGGTATTAACATGATATTTCCTTCTAATATTTCAAATTCCTACATTTGATCTCAAGTCTAAACCAAAGGAATAATACGAATATATCTTGCTGCGAAAAAATAAAGGCTTCCAAAATTAGCCGCTGACATCTTTGAAACAATATACCAATCTTCCGGCATCCCTGAAAGCACTACGGCGTGTTCTCATTAACTTTCTTAAACTTGGTTTTACCAAAAGGAACACGGCGTGATCCTCAATAGGCAATCCTGTGAAAACTGGATCCTTTGATTTCAAATGGAGAACACATCAATTATCGAGGAATTTTACATTATTTTGTAGAATCGTCCTAGATATCAGAGAAAGAATGAAACATCGCGGTTCTATTTTATTTTTTCCTTTTCTAATTTGTTCACTTCTTTTATATCTTTTTCTCTGTTTAATTTTCTTTTTAAAAACCATTCTTGGTTATATTGTAAGAGAAGAGAAGGGATAGAATGGCACCTAGTCTTTCATCCCTCCGAAGCAATCACCAAAACTCCATTCTTCAGGCACTAAAAGAAATTCCTTTTGAATAGCTTTTTCTTTTGGGAACAACACGAAACCAAAATAAGTTTGGCATCATCTTTTGTAACTTCAATTTATTTATTTTTATTTCTTGTAAACTTTATATGGTGTTTTTATCTGGTAATAGCTGTTCTGAGCCAAATACCCCAGAGTTTAATCCTAAACGTTTTAACAATTGGATATCTAAGAAGTTTCAATTTGTCATCACCAAAGTTGTCAAAAAGCAATTTCATTCTCAAAAATTGATCCTAATCTGCACAAAAATTAATGTTACTAAGAGAAATGCTAGTGCTAGACTCTCTAACACACTCTATTATTTAAAATTTATTAAAAATTATGAGTTCTATTTTTTTATTTTTAAATTAATATTTCTTTCTCGTACTTTTGTAATTTTTAATAAATTTTAAATAATAGAGTACTTTTGTAATTTTTAATAAATTTTAACTACTAATAATAAAGAATGTGTTAGAGGGAGTGTATTGCAAGCATTTCTCGTGTTATGAATATATTTAAGTTTCAAACATTTTGTCTTTTAGCGCATTGGAATTATCCTGTTCGAATGGTTCAAAATAACCCATCAAGTGGGAAACATATTTTGTTGTTGTTGAATTGTACAAAATGAAGGAAAAAAGCTTCAAACTATTAAAAGAAACAGCATAAGGGGGTCATACACAGATTAAAAGCCTTTTCATTTTAGCTTTGAAGGTAAAATGTGTTCCTCTAACCTGTCAATTTGAACTTCATAAATGTTATTGCCTTCTGCTTTTTCTAGTCCAGTCTCAAGCAATTGAGTCTTCAATTGTGGATCTACTTCAACAGCTTGAACACTTTCATCGAGAAGTCCATGTTCAGTTTCTACCTATTAAGAAAAGGAGACATGAAACAGAAACATTGAAAAGTAAGGTTCCATTTCCAGTGAGACTGCATTTAGTTGATATTATTACTTTGCGCCACGCAATTGTAATTCTAAAACATTTGACACGGAGGTAAATTACAACTCGGTCAATATTCAAAACAAATCACCTCACTCTGATGTTTGATGCTGTAACAAGGGTCCTGTTGATCTTTCATAATTTCTCTGTCATTTTTTAATGATGACTTTTTCCTATTACTGCGATATTGATTAGTATTCTTCACCACAGGATTCTGCTAAATCAAAGAAACAAAATCAATAGTCCTGTTATAACAATGTCATCGTGCCATTAATGAAAAAGAGACTAACTTTTGAGGCCTTTAGATCATCGTTAACTGATAAACTTTTCCTGTTTAACTTCGGAACTTGATTTCGCTTTTGTTCCTTAGTAAGTTTCAATTCTTCTTCAAGGGCTTGGACTTTTGTCTGGAAATCAGCTTTTTCCTGCTCAAGCAGTTGTATGGTCTGTTGATGCTGCCTGTTTATTTTTTTGATGTGACTGAGCTCAGTATCCTGAACACATCTTGTTTCTCTTGCCTTCAAGTCATTCTCCAACTGCATGAGTCTTTCTTCTAGGGATGCTCTAGTTCTCTTGCAGTCACCCAATTCAGACGCTGCCTTCTCCAAGGCTAATATCTTTAGTCCAGATGATTTCTTCTCTGCTGTCAGATCTTCACATAGTTCAGATGTTTGGAGCAATGAGGCTTCCAATCTCTCTTTCTCAGAATTAGAAGAGTTGAGCTCATTCTTTAGAGCTATGATCTCATTTTCAAATTGATGTTTTTGCTGCAACTGAACCTTTAAATTTCCAGATTCATCCATGCATTGTTGTCTTTCATATTCAGTGACCGTAAGTTTTAATTCAAGAGCATTTATAGTGCTTTTGAATTTTAGTTCTCTTGATTTATAGTCCTCCACCAGCGTTAACAACTTTTCATGATCAGCCCTCAGCATTTCCATTTTAACTTTGTGTTCAGCAAGCTCAGTTGTTAGGTCTTTCAGCTTTTGTTCATATCGATTCTGCATCATACCAACCTCCTTCTTGGCCAAAATCACGTTAGATTGAGCTTCTTCTAAATCAGATTTCAGTTTGGCTTTATCAGCACATAATGTGGATACTTCAAACAAAGCATTGGAAGCAATCCTCTCTTTTTCATCAAAGGTTGCCGAAAGTTTCAGACTGAGGTTCTCAATTTCTAGTTCTAAGTTCTGAGTTTCTACCATCTTCTCCATTTGCATCTGATTCAACAAAATTTGGCCCTGCTCCACGTGTTTCCTATTTTCATCAAAAAGATAATCTAAATCTGAAGTTAGATGCTTCTCTTTTGATGCAATATCATCTAGCATTAAAATGAATTTCTTTTCCAGGAGTTCTAATCGTTCAGAGCACTTAGCAAATCTTTCATCTGATTCCTTCAACCTGGCTCCCATAAGGGAGCAATATTCCTCTAGCTTCAACTTTTGCTGCCTCAAATCTCCATTTAGCTTCTTAAAAGAACTACATTCTTCTTTAAGATTCTCAATGGTAACTTGTGACTGCTGATTTTCTCCCCTTAGAAATTCACATTCTTCTTGCGCTTTTTGTGTCACCTTTAATCTTTGTTCCATGTCTTCTGTTGATGAATCTATCTCAGACTGCATCTCCATAATCTTCTCTTGAAGCCTTGCAGCTTGAGATCTAGCGTTCTCTAGTTCTGATAAACAAGATTCTTGTTCATTTGTCAAATCTCTCATTTGATCTTCCAAAACAGAATTGCGAATTGACAATTGTTGTTTTTGCTGTTCTATATCTAATATGTGGAGCTCCAGTTCATGCTTACTTTCTTTTATCACGGCCTCCTTGTGTTTCTCAAGTTGACTTTTTTCTTGTTCAAGATGATAAACCTTGGCTTCCAACTCACTCACTCGCTTCTGCAGAACCCCAACTTCCTCTTCTTTACGTGATAAGTTAGCCTCAAGATTTCCTATCTCAGATGTTTTATTAGTCAGTTCCTTATTCAAATCTGTGATTCGGAATTCAAGAGCTAATTTTAAAGTCTCAAGCTCTTGCATTGAAATATGATCATCTTTACTATTCTTGATGACGTTTTCCCCCTGGAACATGTCTTCTGAATGGAATATTCGAAATAAATTGTTGCTTACTTCAGACTCGAAGCTAGCTAAAGATTGATCTTTGAGCTTATCTGACAAAAGGTCTTCAGATGATCCATCTTTTGAATTGTTCTTTGCTTCTTTTAGCTTGAATAAAAGGTCAAGGTTTTCCTCTGTCAGCTCATTGCAGTCTATCTCAAGTTCCTGAACTTTCTCTTTCAGTACTTCGATTTCTCTCAAAAGATCTGCATCACCTAAATCTGTGGACACAGTTTCTGTATTGCAACTTTCTGGGAGAGATTCAAGCAGCTTTGCTTTCAAACTTAAAATTTCTTCATCTTTGGCAGATAACTTGCTTTCATATCCCATTTCAATATCTGAAAGGGTTTTGTTGTTTTGAATCTTCATAAGTTCAGTGTCTCGAATCTTGTCCTCCAAGGATCCTTCCAGCTCTTTCATCTTGACCAGCATATTTTTCTTGGATTCCTCCAATTGTTCTAGTTGTTGCATTAAGTGCTTGTTTCCTTCTATACTTAGTTGGAAAGATTTCTCCAGATCACTGAATTTTGAGGGTAATGATGAAAGGTTTTCTATCTCAATTTTCTGCTGTTCTATAGTCTCTTCCAGCTCCTGGAGAACAGAAACAAACTCAACGTTTGCTTCTTGGCTTCTCTTCAGTTGCAAAGACAAGTTAGCATTAGATTCTTTTTGAAACCTCAATTCATCTTTTAGAGCATTTTCAATTTCTGGAATACATTCACCTTGAGATACTGAATCTTCCAATGCTTTCTGTCGCGCAGTTGGTTCCTCAAATGACAATTTTAACTCTTCAATTTCTTTTCTCAAATTATCACGCTCCACATGTGCTGCTGAAAGTTCCATTTCAAGACCAGCCAGTTTTTTGGATTGATCTGAGAATTCGGTCCTCAACATGTTCAAATCACCCATTAGCTTTCGGGCGTTCATCTCCCACATCTTCGCTTCTGCCCGTAGCTCTTCACTTGTTTCCTTTGCAGCTTCCAGACGATTATTAGAAGCATTGGTCGTCTTAGTGGATGACGCACCAATGTCTTGCATAGTCTGGGAATTAAATGATGAATTATTTGACGGAGGAGAGTTATTAATGGGGTTATCGTGATGAGATACACTTCTCTGTGAACAAGTTGAGTCTTGTATTCCAGTCGAGCTCTGCCAGTCACTGATACATGGGGAGACATTTCCCCTTACTGTGGAACCCTCTGTTGAGTTATGGCTGCAATTTGATACAGATCCGGAGAAGCTTGTTGCCTTCAGCCAAGGTGAACATGTCGTCAGTATCATGATAAAGACAGGTCAACAGTAAATTACGTCACCACTCAAATATAAGCAAACTGATAGCTGTACATAAAGAATTCTTTTCTTTTTACGTCACCACTCTGTACAATGAATAGCTTTTAAAGCACCCATTAGGATGAAATGCAGTCATCATCACCACGCAAAAATGTCTCAAAAACAGAAATGTTTGCATACTTGCGGGGTAAAAAAATGCCACTTAAATTTGGAAATGAAGCAATGTCTTTTGTGCAAAGTTTTCCATGTAAAAACCTTAATGTATGCTTTCTGATACACAAGGAGACCCTAAATATAAACGAACAGTTAAAACAAAGAATTATTTGAGTCTTGAAAGTTCATCCTGAAAATTGATCAAGGATTTAGACAAACATAGGCACAGAGAATTATTATTTACCAACATGCTTGGGAAAAAATCTTCAACCATTTTTGCAACAAAGCAGATATGATTCTAGTAGGGAAAATGTTGTAATTTTACCCTAGTCTCAATTTCGCCGTTGGATAAGATAGAGTCCGAATCTTCAACAGAGGAAGATTCAACACTCTGTACATTGGAACAATCAGATCCATTTGACTTGACAGCCAAATCATAATTATTTTCATTGACGGCCTTCAAATGTGAATTTGTCTCACTTGATTCTTGATCCCTGGGAAAGTGCAGGAGATCAATACTCACTAGAGCAATAGACAGTATAAAACAAAAGATTACCCTCCAATACAAACCTGAGTTTCGTTCTTGGTGTAAGGCACTGCACAGTTACCTGCAAAATGCATAACCACTGAATTCCCAACTAAGTTCAATGACATTTTGCTGCAATAGCACTATAGGTAATAAGAGCCCATAGTTTGCCTCTATATTGGGAGAGGAAAATCACAGTGAATACTGCTTGAGTTAGCATATTTAAACCAAAGAAAATTTGCTGTCAACGAAGTAGAGTAAGTAACAAACATAATTTTTCATAGTTATAGTTCCAATGAAAGAGTAAGACGTGCTTTGGTAGTATACTTATGGGGTCATGATCTCCATAAATAAGACTTCAGTCCCATGCACCACTAAGCCGATTATGAAAAGTGTAATGAAAATTAAGTTGAAAGAAGGCTAAGACAGTGCCATCATCATGTGTAAAGTTAATGAGAAAGAGATTCGTCACAAAGGAGTAATTCCTATGCAAGGAAAAACCATTTCCCTTGTGACATGTATGGATGGAAAATAATATACGATTACTACTTTACAACTTTCCGGCTGTATTGCTGTTGTCCAAGGCTACTTTATTGAGTGAAATAATCACATCACACTGACAAGAAAAGGATATCTGTGAGAAAGACCATTTTATATATTTTTCAAGACTATTATTTGTTAATTCAATTCCGGTCAACAATATATTCCCTATTTCTAGTGCTATATTTTCCATCAATTTCAGAAAAATAAATAAATTCGCGAATCTTATCCAAAATGACACAACACCCCCAAATCATCATAAGAGCAATCGTTTTCACTTTCTGCACTCAATCATAAATAAGATATAACTTCAGTTATATGACTCACATGCAAAACTGTCCCATGGTTGCACTTATTCAGAGGGATTGAAAGTGGAATAGCAGCAGCTGAACTCATATAACTGATCATACTGACAGTCGCCTCTCCCAGTATGGCAGATCTTGATGATCCCTGTTGATGATATTATTTATTTAGTAACCCAAACAGAGAAGTCTCAAGCTGATTATGATAAAGGAACAGAAGAATAACAAAACGGTGTGCATAATAGTAAAAGGGGCATCAACAGTTATAGTACCGTGGCAACAATAAGCTTGAGGAGACAGTCCGCAACCTCCTTGGAAGAATTATCTCCTGAAACCAATATAGATTCTGAAAAAGTATCGGACCATTGAGAAATTCCATTACGCACTGGCACTTTGCTTGACTTTGCAATTGTTTTACCATTTTCTACGGAGACAACAGAAACAAACAGCTTGTCCCACCCCTTGGGTACCTACTAACATTAGAATCAATAAGCATTTGTTATTGACCCAAGTAGCCTTTTTAGTTTTTTTATATGGCCTCATGCTAACGCATCACTTGACACTTGAAATCATTTGGATATGAAATTCTAGAAAAAAAATTTTGCCACGAATTACTGAAATGTCATAACAGTACCATATCGTCTTGCAACTATTAACAATAGTCATTTTATGATTTAGCTCTTTATCAATCCTTGTCACAAAACAAGCATGAATCATTGTTCTGCAATATGCATTCCATGTGAACATAAACCACAAAGCCAATGCAGCTAGCTATTCATGACAAAGCACCACGATCCCCAGCTTGAACTTCATAAACTCCCAAACATGTTCTTTCCGTTGAAATAAACTTCATAAACGAATTACATTATTTTAAACTCATCAATGCATTTTATTTCCAAATTAGGATCTAAGATTTTTAGTTACACCAATGAATTACCACTTTTTTTTATCGAAGCAAATTAAGCAACACGAAAACACAGACAAACACTACACCAATGACATCACAGTGATCGACGTAAAAAGAAACGAAATAGAAATAGTGAAAAACGAACCTGAAGAGCCTTGAGATGAGATATTTTGAACTCAATTTTTTCCACTGATTTGGAAGCCCTGTTCTTGTGCAGCCTAAACATTCTCTCTCTGTTTCTCTTTCCACTCTCTCTTCTCACTGTGTGTTCTCTGCGTGTTGTGGTTCGTTCTTTCTCAATCACTCTCAACAATTACTCTAAAATCACCACATTCATGATTCCTCCGCAACCACCATCACCAACTGGAGAAAGAGACTAAGAGAGAGAGAGAGAGAGAGAAAGAGCGTTAGCTCAGTGGTCATTGTTGCGAAGGGTGTTATTTTATTTTTCCTTCGAATCATCGCGCATTGTATTTGCGGGAGAGATACACACGAAGAGGCGCAACAACAGAAACCAACAAAAGAGGAAAAATAACAGAAGCAAAGTTATTAAATCATTTACAGTTTTTTCAAATTAAAATTTATGTATAACATTCTAAAGTCATTGCAATGACAAAGCTCTCATACAAATATTTTTAAACTGTGCGATAGTTAATTTATAAATAATATGATTTAATTAAAAATTATATTAAATGTTTTAATTTTTAATAAAAATGTTTGCAGTGTACAGTGAAGTGAAACAGCTATGACCCAGGCACCATTTTTTAATACACTCTTGGCTTTTCTGTTTAATGGGAAAGTCAGCGAACGATTCTATATGCTGACGCGTCACGCGGTGGTTGGGCAAGAACCTAAAAGGTGTTGCTTTCCCGATTGGAGAGGTTGCAACTATGTTACTGCGGCAACCACCAAAAACAATGCTAACAAACAAAATTGAACGACCTTTTTCCGATGGACGATTAAAGAGTAATTTGAGATTCAAGATTCCGCACTTAATTCAAAGAAGAATATTTGTATGAATATATATTTCATATACTATACATAGTTAGAAGAATGGATTGGATACTCATGAAAGAGACTTTGCCTCGATAGCATCGTGATATCCACGAGAATTGAGATTATTTTTATGCAACTTACGATATTTGCTTCTGCTACCGTGATTAGTTTATTTCAAAGTAAACATCCAAATTTGTCTTGATATATTTAGCAATAGATATATCAAATCTTAAAAGTCACAAAATGTCAGCTATATAGGTATCCATACTTAAGGACTAATATAATCAATGTTGTTTTATTAGGGACTAATATGTATTACGATAAAATTATAGAGACGAATTTGAAAATTGAGTCTTCATTTTATTGAACAGAATGTACCTCTTGATTTATGTAATTTTTGTCTTTTTGGGTTGGCTTTGGGGTGGCATCGATTGCATCTAAGGTTAATCACCAACCGGCCCCAAGAGGCATATGCGAAAGTTGCTGATAGTAAGAAAAGAATTTTGCCATTCTCTTTCCATCAATACACGTTATAGAAGACATGGGTCTCTCAAAAGCCAGAGATTTATGTGGTAGGTTTGCATTGGGTCTGATTATTAGTTTGGGTATGTTATGGTACACTTACTAATCACTTATCACCAACCATTCCCAAAAGTCAATAATGGGGAACTTTTGTTTCTCCTAACTAATTTTTAATTATTATCCAAACACAGCTTTAAATTCATTTGTTAAATTCAGTGTACTATTATATGTTCACTTAATTTGTACTAGTCTCGTGGAAGAGGACATGACACTCCAAAATGAAGTGAAATGCAAGGGAATTATGGATGACGATTCATGAGACGCAGGCTTAAGGCAAAACCATACTGCTTAGAAGTGCTAATGAGTGAACAAAAAAGATGATATGATATGGCAACAAAAGATAACAATTATTTAGATCTAACAAATGTCAAGCCATTCGTTCAAGCTAGTTATTCATTTTTAAAATGTCTCAGAAACTGATCTGACGTTAAATAATGATGGGGTTTTGGAAATTGTCTATATATGAAATTCCTTGAATGAAAATCATTTTGTAAAATGTTGGTCAGAAATATTATTTGTTTATTATAATAAATTGAATTTCGTTTAAATTGAAATTTAGATGATGTATCTTTCAATTGATAGAGTTGGGTGTGAATGACAAAAAACTAAAACAAAAAAAAAAAAAAAACGGAAACTGATTAATTTTTAAAAAGAGTTTTTTTAAATAAAAAAATAAGTATTTTTTTTATTATCATTTATGGTTTATGGTATTTTTTTTAGTGGTTATCATTTTTAACTTTGGAAAATAAAGTATTAATAAAACAATATATATTTTAAATTTTTTTTATAAAATATGTAATCAGTACAAATACTTTTAAAAAAGTTATTGAATTAAAACAAATACAAACAATTGGCACATATTGCCTACTATCCTACTTCCCAAACAACCAATTTTGAGTTACATATAATTAACTTGGATAAACGGAATTAAAATATAGTTTTAAAATAATTTTTTGTCCGTCAAATTTAAGTAAAATTTTGATTTGGTCCTTCAACTTTGTTTTTATTCAACTTAGTCTTCTAATTTTAATTTAAGTTTTATTTTAGTTTTTAAATTTTTTGAATTCAATTTAGCCCCCTAAATTATTTTGTGTACTAAAATTTTTCTCTAACTTTATTTCAATATTTACTAATTCAAACAATATTTTGAACTTTTATGTAAATATGGATTCACGGTGAGTTGATAAATGATGATAGGTTGATAGTAATTATTATGTAAGTATTTATAATAATAAAAAAATAGTCTGAAATGATTTATGGACAATTAAAAAAATTAGTAATGATTTAGAACTTATAGAAGGTGATTTAAGAGTAAAATGCGTAAGAAATGGAAAATAAGAAAAAGTTGTTACCCAATATGCTGATATTTTTACAATGTTAGTCAAGTTAAAGGATATAACAAAGTTAAAGAATTATTTTGTCTTAAAAAAAATAACTTTATAAGTTTAAATTGAACACAAAAATAGTTCATGAATTAAAGTAAAGCGTAAATTAACTTTTAATAATTAAATTAAATCAGAAAACCAAATTAATAAAAGCTTTTACTTACACACGGAGGACAAAAAATATAATTTGACCTAAAATTTATATACAGCATAAAATGGTTTTTAAAGGGAAAAATAAATGTTTTTGTAAAAAGAAAAAAATCCAATAAAACAATACTTAATAAATTTCTATTTTTTTTCATTTTTTTGTTCCTTTACTTATACTACTGAATAAGAAAGAAAATTACTATTAGAAGTGAACATTTCTAACATTAAAATTCATGAAGAGCCCAGTGACACTTGCATTAGAGAAACAATAATTACAATCCTCGAGAGCAGTACAACTGTGGTTCACTACATAAGCACTGTATAATATACAACATGTTAACTCAAAATATGTAAATAAAAATAAGAAAATCAAGCAAAACAAGTGTTACATTAGCCTTAATATTCTATATAATGGACTAGTCTTTTGAGTTAAATTTAACTACCACGTAATAGACTAGTCTTCTGAATTGAATTTTCTTCATTTACTTGAGTCATAACATGGACTTTTAAGTTTCAATTAAAATGATGAAAGTATGTTTTAAAAATAAATAAATTACGAAAGTTTGAAATAAAAAAATAAAACAGATTATAAATGGAAATTAAAATTAAAACTATTAAAATGTAAAAATAAAAAAAAATAACACATTACTGTTTTTAAGAATAACATAAGTAATTAAGTCATTTTCAATTTTCAAGTAAATGTAATCTGATCTAATAAATAAAGATTGATAGCAGAACTCGCAATTAAATTGAAAACGTGATTCTGTAACTGGGACTTGACATAGTTCTTCACTTCGTAATTCAATTAAACTTCTTTACAACATTTAGAAAAGATGAATAAACGATTTAATTGTTGAAAAAATATTTTCTATCAAATACATATTTACTAGATAACTTGTGGGACATTAACTACCAAAAATGAGAAAATTATCGAAAGAATTGAATACGCTGATAGATATAGACAACTTTACAGCTTATGCGAAGATGAATTTTTGTTTGTTTGGTCAAAGCGAAGATGAACTAAACGTTAACTATTTCAACCGTCGGCTGAGTTTCATATACAAACCCTGCAAAAACAAAATCCTATTAGAACACTAAAATTTAGTGGTTAAATGTAAGTGAAGCTTTTCTTTTCCATTGAGTACTTGAAAATGAGCAGACAATGAATGTGAAGAAATTAAAGGGATTTGTTCCTCTTTCTAACAAAATTAAAGAAAAAAATGAAGCTTGAGAAGACTTGAAGAATTTAGCATTTCCTTTTGCTCTCGTTACCCTCTTGCAAACATTGAGATTCGCAGACAAAGTTACTTGTAGAAAACACATTTCAAAAACAGTAGATAAGCTTACATTTGTTGTATGTATTGTTGCTCCTGTTGTCATACTAATATTCTGATCAGGAACCAGCTCGAAGTTTATATGCTGTAGAAAGATTGCAAGAGCAACCGTAGCCTCCAATAAAGCAAATTGATCACCAACACACTTGCGAGGCCCTCCACTGAATGGAATGAATCTGTAACATATTTTAACTCATGAAATCTGAGCAAACTGAGATACACAAACAAAAATATTCCACAGGGGACATAACCAGAATGGACCATCCCTTCTCCCCACACTAAGAAAAACCTAAAAACGAAGGGGAGGGCAAATTTTTTATTTTAAAAAAATATATTTAAAATTTAAAATATGCTCTCCCCTGATCCCCTCCATCCAAATCTCTTATTTCCAAACAACCCCTTACTCGGGAAGAGAGAAGGGAAAAAATGAGCCATAAAAAGGTGTAAGTAACTCGCAACCACGGTGGAGGTGTAATTTACACCATTTTTGTGGAGAGTTATTACTGCTGACAATAATGTACACCTGAAATCTGTATTTGTTTCATTTGGCACTGGACCATCCAAATCAAATCTTTCTGGCAAAAACTCTTCAGCTCTATCCCAAACCTGGCAAAGTTAAAAGCCAGCAATAACATTTTAATAGTGTAACACCTTGACAGAGTTAATATAGCAAAACGGCAAGGAAGAAGGAAAAACATTACACATCAACACTGAGATATAAATAATGTCTTTATCACATTATTAAACAACATTATTTATGAATCACCTTTGCAAATGCACAAGATAGGACGCATAATGTATGTGACATATCAAGAATTTAAACAAAACAACTGCTGACTAGAAAAAAGAAAAAGAAAATACACACACACATCATGAACACTAATACCAAAAGCAAATCAGTTTTAATGATACATCTCTGTACTCAAAACTGAAACAAGAAGAGATGAAAAGGTTTTTATGCTCTCCAAAATCAAACTTGTTTCCCCATCCGGAGTATTCTTTTTACCTTTTTTTCTCGGGTCCAACAAAACTAAAAGGAAAAAACAAGAAACAGAATATTCTTTTGAAATGGAATTGAACAGGTTCTAACTATTTTAAACTAATCAATTAAAAAGCACATAGAAAAACATAATATTAAATTCTCTATGCTGTCTTATATGTCTGAAAACCCTGGTTACAGTAGAAATAATCAAAACATGTGGTCACAGTAAGGAGTCATGAAGTTGAGTTGACCATGGCGCAAGTCAGCAACTTCTAGGAGGGTTAATATAAAGAATGAAGGTGACCAAAATCACATTCAGAGGCATCCATTTAAGAGGTTTGTTGCATGAAAGACCATAGTAAATTAAACTTTTACGCAGTACATGAGACAGACATGGATCTCCTCCACCAGAACTGAATACGACCAGTTACTGTCATTTAAAAATTTCATCACCAAATTTTTTAACAAAAATATTCACGTTTGGCTACATTCAATAAGTGGCCATTTGACCCATTAAAGAAAGATTTTTTCACTTAAAAAACATCAAGTAATACCTCAGAAGAACGATGTATGTTGTACACAGAAATCATAATATCTTGACCAGCATTGACTTTGTAAGCACCTGGAAGCTCATCAGGAACTTGAGCTCTTCTTATCAAAACCTTAAGGACAAATAAGGTTATAAAGTACTTTCATAAATAAACTGAAAGATTAGTGAAATATATTGACAATGCGAACTCTGATAAAGCATATTTGAGAAAACTAAAATATACAGATGTTAAAAGTGTTTACTTAATAAATGGTGATAAGTCTATATTTTGATATATTTTATAAATTATATTTATACACTTAAATCTTATTTTATATATATTTACACTAATTATGCTATTAATTATTACAGTTAAGCTGGAAGTTGTGATCAATGCATTATGGAAATATTCTGGATAAAAATTAGATAATTTTTGTCTTTAGCTGTATTATGTGAATCTGAGCTTGAATTTTGAATTTAAAATTTAAACTTAGATAAAGATTTAAATATGAAGATTTAGAGTAATTTTTCAGTTAAGATTCTAAAGTTAAGATTCTGATTGTAGATAAAACTAATTCGAAAAGATAAAACTCAATCGACCGGAAGCTCATGGAACAGCCTATATAAAGAGACCTTATACTCCACACTTAAGATATTTTTTCCACTTCATTCGACACACCATCTTCCCTTTCTTAGTTCTGACTCACTTCACCGTTGAGAGTTATTGGAGATCATTGATAAAGATGACGAACCCATTTAGAGTCGGAACGAGTGATTGAGCACCCCCTTCGAGAACCAGAACTCTTTTCATCTTTTTCTCTTTTGGGTTTCTTTTGTTTGAATTCTCTTTTTTATTTTATGGATTGATTCATTATGTTTTCCGTTGTGTATTTCATTGTAAGTAATTATATCCATAGCTAGGACTATAGGGGATCCTATTGCATACTTTGTATGATTTTTACTTTTAATATCAATATTGATTTTCTTTTATTATTTAACTTTTATTCTATTGAATCATATTGTGTATGTTAAGAACTGATCACCCTTAGCATTTCATAATTAGTTGCATCGTAGACAATTATACCACATGTAATTAATGGAACTATAGAATAAAACGAGATAAAGGATTAGGTTAATCACACTTAATTCCTCTTTTTCAATCGTTATTGAATTAACAAATTCATAAGATCTTTATGCTTTCTCTACATTTTTGCCTTGCATGATTATTAAGGATGATTGTTCAAGGAAAAGAATTTTAACATTACATTACCATTGAGTATTAATAGAACTAGTATGAGTGGTTGACAAATATTCAGATATCAATACTTGGATTAAAATAACTAAAACATAGAAAAGTGTAATAGATAAAATCATAAGTCTTAGGCTCATCTCATTTGATTTCTCTCATACATTGCATTATTGTTCTCTTCAATTAATTGCTAACATTAAGCCTTGTTTTTAATCCATCGCACTCCCTTTGTATTTAAACAATCAAATCAAGGTATCCTTGGTACTTAAAAATAATTTCTATCGGATGATAACTTAATAACTCTTTTTTGAAAATCCTTTTATTACTTTTCGACAAGTACACTTGCTTACGAACAAATGAGAATTAAGTCTTTTCTGATTGATTTGGGATTTTTCTTTGAAATAGTAATTTCAGTCAGGAGATAAACATATATCATCGAATAATACCAGAAAATGATAGTTTCATATATAATATTTCCAAAATTATGCTTTCTTTAGCAGTAAGACTTTTAATAGGTCTCCTTCAATGTGTGACAATTTTGGTGAACGCTCTTCTTTGTTATCTTTTTTCTTCCAGTTTCAACTAAACATTGTCCAACAAGGTGTGGTAGGGGAAGAAACAAAAAGAAAACTTCTCATTAAGTTTCCACTGAAAATCTAACTAAACACAAGGAAAAAGATCTTATACAGGAGTGCTTTACGCTGTGGCAGGAACCTACTAACTTTCATTCTGATTTCCCTTACAGTTTCTCAATTTCTACCCTTAACCGAAGGTCCCACAACCCAATTCACAAATCCCAGAAGCCAATGTCTTTCAGAAATTTCAACAATCAAGATCATTATATCTCCAAATTTTCCTCTCACAACCCACTCATTATATCAGTTTTAACTATCAATTTTCCATGTTACCATGCTAACTTCAATTCAAGCATAAATTACACAAATGATAATACAAAATATTTTGCATCTCAGATAGAAGTTTGTACTAAAAATCTTTGTATGGAGAAACATTTCAACTTACAGGAGGATGTGGATAGAGCCGGAGTGACTCTATAATGCAGCGTGTCAAAAACTTCAGATTTTTTATATCTTCATAGGCAGGACGCCTTCTTTGTAGAACTCTGTCTACCTCTTCTTTTGCTTTTGCCAAAGAGGAAGAATCCTACATAAACAAGCTTATAATTTAGATTTATGGGGGAAGACCATAGTGGAGCTCTTGCATGTTGCTCAATGCTAACATTAGTATGTTTATAACACATAAGTAGAGACATCAGCTGAAAAAAATTAGAAGGAAATGAGATCATTAAACAACCATTTTAGTGTTAATATGTATGAAAAATGATACCTTACTCAGAAGATAAAGTGTCCAGGTCAACACTGAACCAGTTGTCTCATGACCAGCAACTAATAGTGACAAGAGATCATCCCTCAATTGCACACTGGAAACCTGGAATGTAGAAACATAAATTATAAATAAACAACATAAAGAATGGACATCAAAGAAAAAAGCTGTCCATACTAGAGCAGTAGTTTATACAAAGTTGTGATGTCAGATGATCAAGAAAATGAAAAACAAATGGTGTTATCATCAAGTGGTATGACATGTTTAAGGAAGGAAGTGATGGTGGTGGAGATCTCCATATCAGTAGTGTAACTAAATGCTGCAGAGAAACTCAATGATTGAGCAGTAAGCGGAACTACACTAAAAGAGCATGAAAAAAATGCAATTGTCTTCTCATGAAATACTTCATACTTCCACAACCAGAAATTCAGATATCTGAATGTATGGCTGACATTTTTTTCAAAAAGTAACATAACAACCAAGAAAAGATATGGCAAAAAATGAGAGCAATTCATACACCCATAATGACCCAGAGTAATCAATACAGAATCACAGGATGGCATTTACTTGGTTGCACAATGATCAATCTACATTTCAGCCATAATAACTTGAACAGAGTGTTTAATAAAAATAAACAATCATTAATACACCCATAAAACCATTGCACTGTTCATCTTTACCACTGCCACTTAACATTTCTAGAAGAAGTCGAAGGCTCTATAATCTAAGGGGAAAAAGCAACTTAATAGTTTATCATATCAAAACCTCTATTATTATGCATTACTGTACTGCAATTTGCATAAGAACACTGATAAAAGCACAGTATTTGCTGGGAACAAAATACAGCAAACCTCTTCTCTGCTAGCAAGCAAGAACCGGAGGATACTAGGATCAGCATCATTCACATACTCATCAACATCAATTCTTTCACCCTCAGACTCTACAATCTCTTTACATTTTTCAACAAGATCTTCCACAGTTTTCCTGATAACGCCAACAGCTTTTTCAGCCTTTATTTGTCTTGGGATTATCTTACAAAGAAATTGAAACTGCAACAACAAAGAACAGAAAAGAAGAAAATTTTGGCATAATGAACACAAAGAAATTCCATATCATGAATGGGAGATGAGAAAGAATTTGCCTTCCAATATGGCAAAATATCAGTTGACCGAGCCTCTGCCTCTTTCAATGCAGTGTAAACAGCCTCAATAACAGGACTATCTGCATTAAGTGCGTCAAAATTGTAGTTGAATACAGATAAACCAATAACATCAAGAGTCAACTGTGAAAACTTCTCCTCCATGTTAACAGCAGTTCCATTGAGCACATCAGGTTGTAGCTTCTCCACTAATCTCTCAGCACATCTACAAAACACCCTATCCACTATAATAGACAAGTAACGTTTATGAAGAGATGGAACCACAGCCCTGCGCCTTGCCTAATACAAGATCAGAAAACAGCTGTAACTAAAAGCCAGTTGCCCAAAACAATCCATAAAATCATGAAAAGAAGCACTACAAATGAATAAATGATTTATACTGAGAGTGAACAGCTATTAAGGCAACATCTCTGAAGTACGGGTACTTCATTTTGTAAAACATACTCAACCCAGTACGCACTAGATACTGGTACAAGTTCGATATGCTAGAGTACTTATCAATTTTTTTTTTTTTAAAACAACTCCGTAAGCACCTTGTGTAGACCAGGTTGAACTTGGAGTATAACTAGGTATGCCTTAGATACTAGCTAGATCATTTCTCCCTAAACAACCAATGACAGTTTTTCAATTAAATTAAGGAATTTTTTCACCTCTCTCAATTTTCGCATATTTATTTCTCTATTTAATCAAATCCACTCATCCTTACTTGTTACTTGTGAGACACGAGATGCAAATTTGTTAACTGCCTTTATTATAGACATTGTATATACAAATATTTTAGATTCTTCATTAATATTACTTAAATATTACTCCCTCTACTCCTACTTATAAGAAGTAACTACCACCATTTTTTCGTTCCAAAATATAAGAAAGGAAGACGAAGACCAATTTACAAGTGTATTAATTACTAAATACTTTCTATACCCTTATTTGTTGTTTTGAATCAACAAAACACTCACTCATTATCCATAAAAGTAAATAGATTCATTAATTTCATGTATCAGTCACCAATTTGACCATTTATTCCTAAGGGTAAGTTTAGAATACGCTATAAATTTATTTATGACATATAGTTACTTTTTATTGGCCATGATAAATTAGTTATTTATTTCTTAGAAAAAATGATAGGCGGTAGTATTAACATACCCATAATTTTAATTTTTAAACATCATCCTACTTCATACTCATATCCATGCAACAACACATCGAGTAGAAAAGGGCTTCAAGAAAGAAAAATGAAGGCAATGCACGCACCCCATTGCTGAACAGTACTAAACTCCGAAAGAGCAAAACAATCCACATTGTTAAAACTTAGAACAATCTCATAAACAAAATTACCGTCCAGAGTGGACCTTCAGCAATGGCAAAACCAGACCCAAATAGGAACTCAGAGACCTCAGCAACGAGACCCTTAGCATATTTCCCATAATTTTTGAGAACGTGTTTCGCAATGGCGGGGTCACTAACAACGACAAAATTTCTGGGGCCAGCGGCGAGGCGGTAAATGGGGCCATAGTCTTGCATCCACTTGAAGAGAGGGAGAAAAAGAGCACCACCCAGAAGATCGGACACGTCATCAAGCTTGGCACTCGCTACGGGAATGCCTGAATCGTCTTTGGCTATGGTGAGGGACTTAGAGAGAGAAGTGAGCCAATCTGGGCTAACCCAGGAAGTGGATTTGGTTGTGGTGTCAGAGTTTTTGTTGATTGATGATTTGACGAGAAGTGGATAAGGTTTTGGAGTGGGTTTGTGTTTGTGGGGAGGGAAGAGAGAGAAGGGTTTGAGTGTGAGAGAGAGTGAATGATGCATTGTTTCAACTATGAATTGAGGATAAGCTTTAGATGATACTGTGACTGTGAGGGAATTTGGCAGTTAAACGGTGGTGGAATTCAACCACCGGTTTCCCACTCAATCGTCCCTCCACTGAACTCAACCAAAAACCCAACTTACTTTTTTTGTTTTTTAATAAATGTTGTAAGAAAATAATTTAAAATAGTATTTTTACTGATTAAAAGAAAAGAGAGAGACGAAAAAATTGCTCCTTTTCAACTATTCATTGTTGAACAGAAAAAAAAAATCTCCATTAATTTGATTGTTTCAATGCAGGTGGGGGCTCGCTTCCTCTTTCGTAAATGTTTCTTTATTCTTTCTTTTGTTGATTTTTTTATGAGATTTTATATTTATATTTAATTATTTTTTTAAGATTTTTGTATGTCTAAATTACCTCATTCTTTCTTTATTTTTTCCATCGTTTTTCACTTTTATTAATCAAATTCGTTAGAGTTTCACCCTACATCTATCATTTATTCATATTACTCTTTGTAATTAAGATCAACAACCTACTTTGTTTAATTAATTTAGATTCTAATGGGCTCGTTTTAAAATTTGTGCTAATTTAGAAGAGAAAAAAGAAAGTCTCCGCACCATTTAAGAATTCTTTATATGTTAGTTTGGAACTAGTGATCTAATTTATCTTTGAGCTCATGCTAATTCGTTTTCTTTTTTATAGCAAAAAATATTGTAAAATTAGTTTTTTTTTTTTTTTGCAGATTTTAAAGTTTTCCAAATGCTAAATTAATTTAGACAAAATTATGCATGCTTATTATTATTTTTATTTAGTGTATATTGTTGTAATATTTTTTTTATTTATTATCTTGATCGTAAGTGTATTTATTTTATCAATGGACTTCTGAAAAAAATAATAATGTAAAGATGTATGAAGTAAAAAAGATATGTTTATATTAAGTTTTTTTGGTCAATTTATCTTTAATATCTTCGTAATACATTAATAATTAATATTGTAAAAGAATATTTTATTTATTATATTTGATTTCTTTTGTTTATGTTAAGTTTTATTAATATTTTTAAAAATTTTAAAATTAATATTTTCATTATATATATTAATAATATTTTAGCAATGCATAACTTAACTTTTAAAAAAATAATTAATAAAGATAATTTAATAAAAAATTTAATTAAAATATTTATTACTTCCATGTTATTAGTTGTAGTTTTTAGGTTGAATTCACCTACATAATTTTAAACTTGTTTCCAAAATAAGTGAACAAATTATATTCAAGAGACGAAGCTATTACTGTTTTATTCTTCCCCTTTCTTTTTAATGAGACAATTTTTTAAGGGTTTTTCAGTGAGACGTTGTTCTTCCCATTCCTTCTATTGCATGTATTTTTCGTTACATTTATTCTAAAGTGTTTATTTAGTTTATAATTGAATAAATTAATTTTAAATCATTAAATATAATTAAAGTATATTTATAAAATAATTTAAACCATAAATTTTTATTAAAATACGGTTTTTCATTTTTTTTAAATTACATTAATTGATTTTCTAACTTGAACAAATAAGCCAAAGATTGTCTAGCAATAACAGAGGATGGTCTTACAATAACGGGACATACCATTTCTTGTATTGCATGCACAAACATTATACTAAAATTTACCAGTTGAACAGATAAATTTCAACCTTTATAAGAAGTTTATAACTGAAGTAAGATTATTGATACTTACTCTCGGAATAAGAAGATTTTTCTATATTTTTTATATCTAACTTTGCCTTTTGTAAAAACATGAAAGAAATATCATTGATTGTAAATATTACAAGTAATATTTATATTTTAAAATATAATATCTATTAAAATAAGAAAAAGTATTAATTATTTTTCAAAATATGTGAAATGCTATATTTATTTAAGTAATAAACAGTATGTAGAGTATAGCATTCCTACAATGATTAAGTTTCAATCATTAACTCAAAATTATTACTATATTGGTGCTAAATATTTGGAATGACGGATTGTATTTGCTTTAAAAGGAATGAATGAAACATAGTATTCAAAATACAACTCTATGAAATCAACAAATATAAGGTGAAAGTTGAATATAACAATGGTTAATTAGGGTTTAAATCTTCTTAATCCTCCTTCCAAACAATCTAATTCAATTTCAGGTCAATGTTTCAATATTAAATAAAAAATTAAATTCACTGTATCAAGACAGTTTTAATTCATTGTGTTACCCCCTCTAAATGAAAGTATTGATAACATCCCACATTCATCAATTTATATTCCTAGAAAATCCATCAACAAATATGGCATTTAATAAGTTCCAATCCACTAAGTTTTCAATTGTAAGAATGAATAATTTAGAATATATCCATGGTTGTTTAAATCGTAAATATATTAAAAGAGAAAGAAAGGGGAAAAAAGAACTTGAATAAAGATATAAGATCATCCATCAAATTGGGATTTATCAATAGAAAATTAATTACACACTATTTGAGAAATGAACTTGAAAAAAAAATTAAAAAATAGAAGTTGAAAAGTACATGCTTGATTCCTGACATTCCAATTCTTTCAAACCCTAATTGTCGAGGGGAACTAGGTAAAGTTATGTGTTAACTGTCATGTCTAAGCATGGTCATACACTCATCCAGCATGACCATGTTTATCTGATAGGGTGCTACTCCACTATTGTACTCCTTCCCATGTGTCTACACTCAAATTCCAAACTACAACCTTCTAATTATCAAGAAGGGAAGAATGAGTAATCATCATTTACAAGAGATTTCCACTAATATAATTTATAAATTATATTTAATCTTTTTGAGATTTAATAAAAATTAATTTCATATCTTTTTCATCTACACACACTTTAAATTACACTTATATTTATATTTTTAAAAATATATATTTAAATTTAATTTTGTACTGCTTTAGTTTTATGATTTTGTTATATAGTGTTAAAATTTATATCTTATATCAACCTAATTTCATCTCATACATTATCAGTTTTTGTTTTTTTTTTAAGGCATATATATAATTCTATCAAAATTTCAGATCATAGACCAAACTAAAATCCGCTTCAATACATCTTAAAAGGCCTTTATTGGTTTGTACTTGAAAATCGACTCTTCATGAATTGGAAATAAATCAACCGTACAAATGTTTTTTTAACAGTAAAAATAGATATTATTAAGAAAGTATAAGGGGTTACTCCAACCCTAAATGCTATAAAAATCAATTTGTAAACATGTTAGCCATTGATTTTAATTTTTGAAACTCCATTACACACTTTAACACAAAAACTTTATATATATATAGCAGAGCAAGGACAGGCTAGCATCTTCACTCACGAGACTGATGAAGTACAAAACATATAATACTTAATGAAAAAAAATGGAGACAGAAGTCTCTGATGAGTGGCAATGAGAGTGGTCCAACGAAATCAAGATTAATATGTTACATAAATTATATATTTCTCGACACCTCACTTGGATACATTAATTGTAATTGTTTTTAAAATCATGTTTTGTCAATTGCCTAGAGTGGAGGAAATCCTTGACCTTGGGCTCTCGGGTAGTAACGTAAGCTAGAAAAGTATCAAAATCGGTGTCTTCGTAACGTTTGGGATTCCCTTCGTCAATGAGTTTGGGTGACGGTCTTACTGTGCAGTTGAAAGGAAGGCTATGCAGCGATGCCACTGTTGTCCTATTCTTCTCTGCATTCACAAGAACTCTGTGTATCACACTCTTGTATTTCCCGTTGCTGTATATCTGAAAAGTCCTCCCAAAAATCAGTAACTTACACATGTATGACTTACATTTATATGTGCATGTTGTAGACACCATATTCATTTAAGAAGAATTATTTTATATATTAGTAATATAGAGTTAGAAATTGCTAAACAAAAAAACTCTAAGGAAACTTATTGAAGAATTAGAACTTTTTTTTATTATTATTAACGAGTGTTATTAATTAATATACTTTAGTTACAATTTTTAACAAGTGTTAACAAATTTTATAATTTTAAGTCATAAAAAATCACATTATTTTTACGTTAGTATAAAATGCATTTGAAAGTCTAGTTTAGAGAATATATTATTCGTAAATGTTAAGTAAGTACTAGATAAGAAAATAAAAGAAAATAATTATTAAGAAATGTTAATGCACTTTCACCTTTTAATATAATTTAGATAAAAACATTTTTTATTATTTAATTAGTATTCTTTAAATACTGATTATAATATTTTTGGTTTGGTAACGACGAATATTTTCATTTGTTCTATAAAAAATAAAAGTAAATAGATGCATGAATTTGTTTACCTCTAGATGATCACCAACATTGACAACAAAGGCATTTTTGAGAGGTTTAACAGTGAACCATTGTTCTTGGAATTGGATCTGCAAGCCCTCAACCTCATCTTGGAGGAGGAGTGTGAGGAATCCATAATCAGAGTGAGGTGGCATCCCCAGTGTTAAATCGGGTTCAGGGCATGTTGGGTAGAAATTGAGCATCATCATTTGGCTCCCATCTTCCAACTCTTTCAGAATATTGTCCTTTTCTTCGTCACCTTTTCTTATTCCTAAGCTCTCTTCGATGGCTTCCATCAACGTCAGGAATAAGTGTTTGGTTTCTTCCGCGTAGGTACCCGCCTCTTTCCTTCATTTAATTTAAATAAATAGTAAAAACACATGCATTACAATTAATGAAAATTAAATAAAATACAAAAAGGTTGAATATACTTTTTATCTTTATACTTTTGTAAAATTTCATTTTAATCTTTCAAAAAACATTAATTTTGGCCCTTCTTATTGAATTGGTTCAACAAGAAATTAATATGTAACTCAAACTTGACATGCATGCTTTGACTTTTCAGTTAATTACATCATCATTTACTAGTAATTGGAAACAAAAAATAAATAGTATTTAAAAATATATACGTATTATAATAAAAGAAATTTTCAAATTAAATTTAAAGAGTTTCCCATAACCGTATTAGCTCACTTAAAATATAATTCTGAAACTAAAATCTCCAAAAACAATAAAGAAAACAAATATTTAAGCAAAAGATAAATTTGTCCTTATGTCACCGTGTTCCTGTTGCAAGTTTACAAATATATTAGTAATTTATATTCTAACAAGAAATGAATGGATTAATATTTTATGAGTTTTGTTAATCTTAGACTGAGTTTAAATATTAACAAATAAAAAAAAATTTATTAAAAAAAACATAATTATTGTATTGAAGTTATAAAAATATAATAAATATTTTTTTAATAAAATTTTATTATTATTAACTATTTATTCTCACCTTAATAAAATATATATTTTATTTAATTGAAGAAGAAGAGAAGAGAGATTATTTCATTTAAGGTAAGATCATGTCGCAAGCCATTTTTACAACCCAAGACCTTTTAATCATGTTGTTTAATAATCCAACCAGTTGCATTAATCTCGTTGGCATAAAGTTATTAATCTGTTTATGGAGAAATCTGCCACTAATCAAATCAACAAGCAACACTAGGACTTAATTTTAAAATAATTTATCTACCTATACAAACTTGTTTATTTTAAGCCTTAATTACGCATTTTTTTTCTTTATTTTCAAGTGAGCGTAAATAAATTAATTAATCGATTTTAAAATGCTGTCCACGCATGCAGAAAGAGGGAGAAAGTGAGCGTAAATAAATTAATCATTAATTAAATATTTAATTAAGCTGAGAGTACAGACCTAAAGTCCATGGGGGAACTAGGCCAATGGGGTAGGAAATCAGGCAAGGGATGGCAAAGGAGTTTCAAGAAGTCTCTCCAGCAGAATACAGTGTCTTTGGTTTGGCTGAAGCTTGTTCCATATCGAACCGGTGCACGCATATCAGTTGTCATGTACTTAACTCTTTCCTCAAAAGGAAGATCGAAGAACCTGCCAACCACATCTCTCATGCTGTTGATAACATCATCTGAGATGCCATGGTTTACAAGCTGCATCAAACAAACAAAGAAATTTTCAATCTCAGATCATTAATTAAATAATTCTAATGATAACTAATCAATATTCTCATGCTATTTCTAAGTAATTTGCTAATTCTATCAAAGAGTCAACTCTATAAGGTCAATTGTTTATAGATAAAAGGTCCCAGTGATTTTACATATGCTGCCTCAATTATGGCTTTAGGCACTACTTTTTCTGATAAATTGTTTATATCTCTAATATGCTATGTGATGCAAGTTTTCATGTTTGATGTAACTGTTTTTTATATTTATATAGTTCAACATGTATATATTATAAGGTTGCACTGTATACTTCAAAAAGTCATGAATATTCTGTGTCCAGTTGCTAGCGCACCTGAAAAAATCCGTACTGTTCACAAGCATTGGCTAGGGATTGAAGAACTTGGGGCCTACTTGGACCAAGCAAATCAGAAAAATCAATGATGGGTAGCTGAAGGTTTTGCTTGAGAACATTTGAATCTTCTGAATTCGTATAAGCAGGTCGATCAGAAGGAGGAAGTATGTATTTTTTAGGTACAGTGTGAAGGCCATTCTCAACCAGCTGCTTCACTCCTTTCTGATATTGACTTCCCGGTGTGTGGTCATCCTCACCCTTCGGATCACTTACTGCCATTGTTGGAGACATGTGTGCTGCTCAATATAAAGTGTCACCAAATGTAAGTAAACTAATTCATTAAGTGCATAATAGCAATAATAATAAAAAAAGTGTACTGTGCTTAAATTTATGTACATACCAAGTAAATGCAGTTAGTACATCATACACTTAATTTCTTTTATATGATTTATCTCTGTGTGTGTGTGTTGTGACTCCCTGATTATTGGGGTACATATCAAAATGCGCTTTTTCATTGATGAAATTAGAAGGTGAAGCTTAACTAGAGCTATTCATTGCCCATTACCTTGGTTGAGAAATATATAGATATAATGAATGTTGGGGAATATATATGGGATATAGGTATAGGAGGCGGCGAGAAATGAAAATGAAAATGAAAAGGTTGGATGGATGATAATGTTGTGTTCATTTTGATGTATATATAGTGAAGAGAAGAGAAATGTGGGGTAGAGAACAGTAGCAAGTTTTGAAGAAACCAGCTTCAGGTTTGTGAACCCGGAGGACTAATTCTAACATTAACAATTTCGTTGACAAAAGTTGAGTCACATAGAGGGAGAGAGTGAGTAGGGTCGCCACAAGCACAAGACCCCATCGACTTGCTCTCAAAACTTCTATGATTTCAACTGTTAATTCATTATTTGTGCCTTTCCTTGGACCTACCTCTCTCTATATATATTTCCAATTGTACTATTTTGATCGCTGACTTGTGTGTTACAAATAAAAAATATCTTTTAGGCTTTGAAATACGATTATCTCAACCTACTCTTAAGCTCTTTATTTCAAGGATTTCAACCCTGGGATTAATTCAAAGCATCTCTAAAAAGCCTTTAGACAGTGACTTTGAAGGATGAAACAATTTCGAATATGACTCAACTACCTATTTATTATAAATAGTTGATCAAATTAATTAGATCTTCAATATCAAGTATCCTTGGAGATAATTCCGTTTCTGTGAATCTAAAATGACCGATTGATTAAGAACCAAAAACCAAATGATAAACCTTGCCTCCTTCGATTTCTTTCCCACCTGAATCATGTGTAATAGAAAGTGTGATGTGCAATATGTAAGTACTACCATATTATGTATTAAGTATTGTACGACCCTTTTCAAGAGATTCATTCTATTCATTTGTCTTGTCTATTTTTTAGCTGAGAAAAATTTGAATTTTGATTTTCTTACTGTGACACATAATAAATAAATGTCAATAATCTTTTAATCTTTGAAGTCAAAATATCTATTCACTGTTTTCTTATAAACCATAGACCCTCCGCCGTTAGAATCTTTGTAATCTTGGGTTGTGTAGGCACATTCAAGATGCATATGTTAATTGACTAACTCAACTGAGTAACCGCGTGAATAAGTAGATTGCAAAAACAATGAATTTTTCTGTTGATCAAGCAATTATACGAACAAAAAGACTGTGTTTTTATGTATTGGTTCCTAGGATATTTTCTTAGAAGCGCCTAAAATAAAGACCAACAGCGTTTCTAAGTTTTTGAATTGAAGAAAAATAAAAGCAAAAGTGAATGAATGGTAAAAAAAAATATAAATAAAATTGTAAATAGCTGGAAAATGAAGAATAAGCATAGTTGATTTGTATTTGATTGATGTGTGAGATTTTTTTTTCCTTTATAATTATTGTACAATCGATCTTTATACATAATTTATGAATATACATTTTTAAGAACTTTTTTAAAAGAGAAGACCTTAAAAAATAATTCTTTTTAAAAGCATACTAAGTCATTTTTTATCCATTAACCTTTTATTTAGTTTTTAAATATTAATTTGATATTTTATAATTTATTTCTAATATAAAATTAATTTTTATTTAATTTTATTTAATATAATATATCATTTATTATTAATAATTGAAACATTTACTCTTTCTTAAATTTATTATATTAAAATTTAAAATAGTGCAATATAATTTTTATTATTTATTTAAATTTTATTTGAATTTAACAATACCCATGCAATATAAAAAAAATGCCAGTTAATATATAAGCCTATATAAGTAGTTAATCCTCCCCGTTAAGAACTTGTTTATCACATTCTCAATCTATTAAACTCACGTTTACAACAAGATTTGGCATAATCATCTCGAAAACCATATAAAACTTATCACGTTGGCTAATTTGACATCAAGATTTCATTCGATAATTGAGATTTTATTTGTATCCACAATTGACACATGTAGCTACATCTCTAATGAACTTTGATCTTTAGCTACACTCAGAAGCATAACTCTCTTAATTAAGACCTTTTGTTGATTTCAACTACTAATCAATAAATTGACTATGTTCCACAACTACTAAACTTCTCAATTAATATGTTCACCGATTAGCTGCCATTTGAATTGATGTATATCCGCTACCAGCTTGTTAATTGTTAGCTAATAAGCAAACTAAGGCTCTATAAGATTAACAAATTGTTAATTTCTAGAAGCCCATTCGAATAGAAGTGCTTAAATTTAACTCAACTTACCAATTCTACTTACCTCATTGACTTGGTTCAATTATTTTTTAACTCAATAACCTTTTTTTCTCAGTGAACACTTATTAGTTGGTCCTAACTCGATGATCTTTTGTGTTAACAGAGATTAAAAAAATAAAAAAAGAAGCTCAAAGTAATAATAGATATGAGATCAACTAACTTTTAATTATTTGTTAAAATTTATAAAAATATATATAAAATTATATAGACCTCACTTTTAATTTAATAAATTACAATTATATATATATTTGCAATTTGCCAACCAAAATTATTCTAAACAACCTATCACTTGTCCGCTGTTTCTTGGAACTTTACAAAACTACTGCTACTTTTGTCTATTTCAACAGATAAATTTATTTAACAATAATATTAAATATGCAAACCACTTTATTGTACAATTCTTAAAATAATATAACAAAAAAAAGCACACATTATGCATGTTTTATTTAAATTAACAACAAATTACTTAAATTGTTTATTTAACCATTTTGCATAATCTACAATAAACTTGTCACTTTCGCTAGCTCTTTTGCATGCCCCCAATTTTTTTACTGCGATTCACACGTGAATTCCAATTGGGGAATGATAGAAAGGAAAACAAGCAAATATAAGCTCCAATTTTTCTTTAGGGGGGGGGTTGAAGAGGGTACTAATTAAACTCAAATAATGACCTTAAACACATCCATATGCACTTCACTTTTCCCATCTAGCAAGTTGAACCTTTACAAGGCTGTCATTAATAAATATAAGATCAAGAGAAAATTGTTTATTTAATTATCTGCATCCTCTAACATAAACTTGTCATTTTGTTTCATTTGAGTGAACCCACTGATATTTTTTTACTCTATTCTTCTATTCACGTGAAATATTCCCAATTCGTAGGACAAGACCTTCAATTTTAAATGTATAAAATTCATAACATCTTATACACTATCATGTACTTCTCCCACCTAGCCAGTCCAATATAAGGCCGTCTTTATAAAGATTAAAAAATTTACTATGAAATTGTTTTTATTTTAATTGGCACCAAATTAATATTTCTCGTTAAAGAAAAAATTAAACAAACCCTTAATTCAATCTTTTAAATTTTAGAGAATATCTACATTAATATTCTTAAAATTAATATAAATTGATATTTGTTTAAAAATTATTTTAATTTTTTAAAAATATATAATAACAAAAAATGAGTTGAAGAATTTTCTTACAAAAAATATATTATTAGCATATTTTAAATTTTAAATAATTTAAAGTATCTAGTTAGCTAGTTAAAGAATATTTTTGTTACAGGTATTGGTTAAAATTAATAATAAAATTTTATTAAAAATATAATAAAATTATTTTAAAAATCATAAAATATGTGTTGATGATATTATTTATAAAAAATTTACATTTATTTCATAAATAGTACTCTAAAAGTATTTATTAACATTCTTTTATTTTTGTTATATTTTATAATAAATTTTAGTATATTTTTGTAATATATAGTATATGTTTAGAAATACATTAGAAAGCCTATAAACATGAATGCAACGTAAAATTATAATTAATAACATTAAAATATACATAAATTTATATGCATTTAAATGGAAAATCAAACACATCAACCTATTCAATCCAATATAAATTATAAAAATTGAATTAAAGTATTCAATATACATACATATAACATACCATTCATATTTATAAAATTATATACTAATAAACATTCATATTTATAATCACGTGACGCGTAAACAAACATGAATTTGCATGGGTTCAATTTAAAGTTTCATTAGCTATACAAAGGAGAAGATGATGCATGAGCTAGGATTTGGATGTTGAACGTCAAAACAACAAGTCTGATTATTGTTGAGTGAGGGCATTGCGTGAATAACCTAATTAATCAACTCTTGAAGCTTAATCGATGTGAAATGGGTTTAAGATGTTTTGTTTGGGTGATAATGTCACAGAGATAAAGTTAACACCAGCTCAGCAATACGTACATGACCCCTTTCTCTTGACTAAATGTAATGACGAATGCACAAAGGAAAGTGGGATATAATTAATATTTGAACGCAATCAACTAATACATGCACCAACCCTGTTGCTTAAATATACAATTCAATTCATTTTCAGCCTTGATTAAAGTCAAATGCTATCAAATTAACACACATTTAGCAAGCTACTTCTTTTGTAAGAGCATTTTTAGTCAATTAATACAATTTCATATTTTTAAAAATACTAATAAGTAAGTTTTAATGTATTTTAACTTATTCAAAAAATTATTTACTAATTTCTTACTGGCACATTAAAGATTTTAATTAGTTAACAAGATCCTATATATTATGAAGAATAATTGGGTAAATAATTACTGTGTTTGATGAAAAATAATAAATAAGTGACACATTAATTGGTATACTAGATAAAAAAAAAAAAGTATAATAAAAAATTTATTTTTTTATAAAATTTAGAATATTAATATTTTTAATTCCTGTATAAAATTTTAAACGTAAAAGAAAGGAATAGATTTAATTAATTG